GCACGGTGCTACACAAATTAAATATGAAAAAGTAGTCACCAGAAAGATGGCATGGTGCTACAAGAATTAGACATAAGAAAGTAGTCTGGATGGCACGGTGTTACACAAATTAGATATGAGAAAATAGTCATCAGAAAGATACACAGTGACCCAACTTTTGCTAACATAATCATTGGCCAGACGGGCAACATATATGGGTAATAGCCAATCGCCGACAGCGGAAGCTCTTTGATTTTCTACCAAGATCGTAGAGGCTCTGATACCATGTTCCTATTCTAAATAGGATTGTGTAAACCTATTCCTATTCTAATAGGATTGTGTAAACCTATTCCTATTCTAATAGGATTGTGTAAACCTATTCCTATTCTAATAGGATTGTGTAAACCTATTCCTATTCTAATAGGATTGTGTAAACCTATTCCTATTCTAATAGGATTGTGTAAACCTATTCCTATTCTAATAGGATTGTGTAAACCTATTCCTATTCTAATAGGATTGTGTAAACCTATTCCTATTCTAATAGGATTGTGTAAACCTATTCCTATTCTAATAGGATTGTATAAACCTATTCCTATTCTAACAGGCACAAATGGCATCCACTGACCAGAACAATTTTCTTCTTGTTACTTGTTTTTTTTTTCTTTTTCCAAGTTCATGTGTTAGTTGTTGCAATTGGTCTTATTTCTTTTCTTTTTTCTGTCAGTATAAGCTTATTTTCTTACGATAAAGGACTGTTGATAGCCAAATCAATGCACTATCTCTAAGGAAACTGGTTATAATGTTGGAAAGAACGTCTACCTACTGTGGATGATCCTTATGTAGACGTCTACTGTTTAAATTGCCTCATCTAAATATTTAAACTATTAAATAGGGCAAACTTATCTTTTTGTTGGGCCAAGTACGTGGAAATATATTAGTACGAGTGATAGTGAGATTGAACTCAAAGACCACTTGAATTGTATAAAATATATTATCTAAAAGCTTAAGTTGCTAAAGATGTGACAATAACAACGAAGCCTCATCCCCATACAAGTCAGGGTCGGCTCACTGACCATGTTTACTAATTTAAGCTCAACTTGTGTCATTATCATACCAAAAACTAAAAGTGGAAAATAAGTATGTAATTAGTTACAATTATTATTATTATTATTGTGAAAAGTTCTCTATATTTTTACTGACATAAAAATCCACAATAAGGTCAAATACTCCTACAAAAGCAATAGGTTCAAAATCAATGTACTATCAAGGCTAAAACCTATTCCCATTAGTAGATATCACCTATATGGATATTTTCCTCTGGTGTGTTCTATCTTTAGCTCTATGTTGCTCGGATTTTTCAAAAATGTCAAGGGGTGTGTGTCGGATTCGCCAAAAGTAGTGCATATTTGGAGAATCCGCCACGGGTGCAGCATCGAAAATGAAGAGTCCACGCAACTTAGCTTTAGCTAAGCTTACATTTGCTAAAGAGGTGGCACTTTATTTTATTTATTTGTTTTAAGTCTACAACTTGTATTTTTAACATAGATCTTTGCCTAATTTCTCATATATTATTTGAAGGTATGGTAAATCCAACTAGGATATATCTCTTGTTGCATGTCTTGGCTAACTTCTCGGATATACTATTCATGATATCTAGAGCCGTTTAGACAACTTTTTCCAAAGTAGTTTAAAAACATATTTTCGGGGATAACTTTGTGCAAAAGAAAATTGTGTTTGAATAGTCGTAGTTCTTTGAGGATTTGTGAGTCTTTTGTGAGTGGAAGAAGAGCTTTTAAATGGAAATATACCTTCAAAGCTTCTCTCCATTGAATTTTTTTTTCTGAAATAACTTTCCGCTAAAACTCCTTTAAAAAGCTAAACAGACGTGCTTTCTCGGAAAAAGGATCAACCTTTCAAGCTGTGTAACTTTGGTAGCTGCAGGCACTTGTCCCATTGTATGGTATCTGGTAGTCCATTTATATTGAATAAAATTGTGATGGAAGGAAAAGGAAATATCCATTTTGTGCTACCTTTTATGTCATCTTAATAACTTGGTGAAAATTTGTAATCAATTAATCACATGGCTTGACAGCTAGGCTTTCTTTCTGTTCATCTTTTTTTTTTTTTTTTTTAAAATCCGAATCCTTGAAGGTAAGTGTGGTTTATATAAATCTTCACTCATGTCTATTCACCAAGATCTTTTCTTGCAGGGAGTAGCCGACAACTTGTTGGGTTTAACACAGAGGTAGATGAATCTGTCATCAACCACATATGGAAGCGGGTTGGAGAGTTCATACCTGCTTTAAGACATGAGTCTCTTGAAGATTTGCGTCAAAGCAGAGAAGTTAGAGTAGGACTGAGACCTTACAGTAAGTGAAATCCAGAAACTTGTCTTGTAGCAATCATGTCTGAATTCCTAAAATAATGCCAAAGTTGCAAGCATGCTCATGCGCTTGACTATTTTTTGATTTAGTTCCTGATGGAAAGCCTGCCATTGGGCTTGTTCCTGGATTTTCAAACGTCTTTCTTGCTGCGGGGCATGAAGGAGAAGGACTGTCGCTGGTATTTTTCTCTGATCTGCTTCTGCAGATAAGCTGAAAGACATCATTTTCTTATAAAAATTGTCCCATTCATTTTAATTTGAAGTCAGCTGTTCTTGCTGACTTTCCGAGTTCTTATATTCTTTGAAGTTGATTTGTGGGCAATCCTTTCTCTTACCAGGCTCTAGGAACAGCTGAAATGATTGCTGATATGGTGTTGGGAAATCCTTCTATAGTAGATACAGCACCTTTTGCTCTGCTAGGCCGGTGCTTCCACTAAATAGTGAGCCCAATGCCATGATTGAACATTAATAAAGCCGAAATTTGAATGCCCTCCACCCTGAAGGTCACATCACATTCTTATGTTACTGCTACATGATGTTGCATTTTGGTTATAGCTTTTCGTTCTATCATTTCAGTGCAATAACTGAATAATGGGAAATTACAACTGTTTATGCTGGCATGTGGATTTCTCAACAGAGAATGTAGCAATGATAAGTTGATGAATTGGCTCTAGGATGCAATTCACAGGTTTTGAATGAACAGAGATGTAGCTTCTATAGATAGAGACAAGCTAGAACTGTTCCAGCAGAAGACTCATCTTCCCAGCTCTCCAACCACATGGCTCTTATGTAAAACTAAAATAGCAAAATGCTTTTGCTGTGGTTGATTTCCTTATGGATTTAGTGCTTGCAATGCTTCATTTTGAGTGCTATCTGTTCTAGCTCAAGCATATGTGCATTTGGGCTCATTTGTTTAGGAGTATTTTGCTTGTTGTTGTGTGTGGAGTGGGGTGGGGGTTGGGGTGGAGAGCTGAATTTGTGCAGTTCAGTTGGTTCAGGTTGATCCTAGCTTTATGGGTCAATTTCGGCAAAACCCAAGTCGACCCATCTATGAATATATTCTTAGCCAAACCACTCAAGCTTGAGGAGTTGAGCAGGTTACACTTTTGTGAGATAATTTTACCCTTGATTTAGAGGGTGTTTGAGTTGGCTTAAAAGTTGGTCAAACCTACTTTTAAGTCAGTTTTTGACTTCTGGAAGTGTTGAGCAAATAGAAAAAATAACTTAAATAAGTTAGGAAGTGTTTGGCAAGGTCAAAAAATGACTTGAAATAAGTTAAAAACCAAAAGTAGGTCTCCCCCTACTTTTTATTTTTTGACTTAAAAGTCTTTTCAGTTTGACTTCTTATTTTTGACTTAAGAGCTACTTTTTAGCTAAAGACTCATCTTTCAAGCTGTCCAATCCTGTAATCTTATTCTGTATAAAATAAAAAGAAAAATGTTCTTCATGTGGTTGTGTTTCTCATGGATAAAATGCTCTCAATGTTTATTTGGAGTTTAAGATTTTTTATTTCACTTTAATTTGTCAAAATAGTACTTGCTGTGTGAACTATAAGCATTAGGAGATGGTTAAGACTCTTCCGTCTGTCCTTTATTATTTTTTGTAAGTATTTACACTTGCTTATACAAGAGGCTTTACATGGGGTATGTTGATGTTGTACTTATACTAGAGGCCTTATTAGACACTCATCGATAGAGTATTATATAATAGTGATTCACATGGATATGCTATTAGGTATCCCTATAGCTGTGATACCCTGACATGATTTAACATTGGAGACCGCAGGGCGCAGAAGCTTGTATGGTATATTGGAGGGGCCTTGTCTGTTCTTAAGTTTGGGATCTGCATTTCTTTCCACTATCCTTTTATCCACTTTGTTCAGTTCCTCGGCAAATTGCTCAAACCTTTGCTTTACCCATACATCATCTATCCAATTTGGAGATCGTTGTTGACCCAAGTATACTTCATCAGATGTAGGCGCCGAGAGTACCTCTAATAGTGCCATATATAGGGTGATTTCAGACCTGTTGGGTAACATCTTGAGGAAGAACTTATCTGGGTCATGGAGAAACTCTGCAAACTCTTTTGTCCCTTCCATCGGGATGAAGTTCCGACATTTGATTGGGCGATTTAGTGGATGACCCACGTATTCATATTGTCCAAAGTTAACTGAAGCATGAAGACCTGAAGATATCCATATAAGGGTTGTGAGAGCCTCTACTAGGTCAGAGAGAGTAGTCATTGGGTACCACCATGTTTCATTACACTTGTCTCCATGGCCAATTTTCTTAATCTCCGACCACCATTCTTGGATCTCATGGTCCGATCTCAGGGAATTATCATCCTTGTAAAAATGTAGACAATAGTCATTTACCCATCTCTTGGTTGCTACCCAAATTTCTAGTCCATCTGTACCATATGGATAATCTTCAAAGAGAAGCTGAACGCCAGCCAGGCAATCTGGGTTATGGAAAGCCATACCTCTGCGAGTTTTGTAATTGTGTTATTTTGTAGTAGTAATAGTAGCTATAATGTACATAAGCAGATTTAGGGGTGATGGAGAAAAATGTTTTCAATTATTTATTTTATCCAAAAAAAAGAAGAAGAGGAAAATGTTTTCATATTTACTTTGGGAATCATTCTGGATCATTTTCCATGTATGTTTTAATATAGAATTAGGTGAAATATGGTACTAATATACAAGGTGGAAGATAAGTGTATGAAGATAGTGTTTTCTAGTGATAGTTCTGAGTATGAAAAGTTAGTAATAGTGTCTAGTTGTTGGCCTCAAGCATGGATTTGGAGTAAGAATTGGGATATCTCTAAAAGATGATGAAGTAAGAATTGGGGGTATCTTTAAAAGATGATGACTTCCATTAGAGGTGGGACATCACTAAAAAGAAGACGATTTTCACCTATAAGTGGAAAAAGTAGTTCTCTTTCTTTTGATGGAATTTTTTTTCTTGGAGAAAGCATTTTCAACAATTTGAGATGACTAACATTGAAAAATAATTTCATGAAGACACATATTCCGTATACCAAACAATTTGTTAGGTCCAGTTCATATCTCCTGCTAGCATACCTTTTCAGTAAATCACCAGGGAGGCTTTGTTCATCAAATCTCCATTCCTTATAGAGTGAAGAAGATAGCTCCATAGAGACTTCACCAGAATAAAGGGTCTTCTCAATGATTCCTCCACCTTTTAAGACAGTACTTCGAGCCAATGCATTAATATGCATAGTGTCCTTGAAGTGAGGATCCAATAACCTGTGAATCGGGTGCATAACACTCAACTGCCTTCTGGTGGCAATAATGAATGGCTCTACAACAGCATGAGTTTTTAGCCTACAATTTCATATACCCATGAATAATGGAAGTAGTCAAATTTGGAAATTCAATGACATGGCAATTGCTACACGATTTTTAGTAATTTTACCAATGGCTGATTAGCTGCTGATAACCAGAATCATTTACTCCCACATGAGCTTTAGCAAACTGCCATAAGGCTGCCTCTGATCCATTGCCTCCTGGGCGAAATACCCTGTGAATCTCAGTGCCAGGTGAAAGCCCTGGTAAACTTAGTTCTATAGCAAGTGGCTTTAGCGTGGCATCGTCCTTTAAGAATAGTAGAGTCCTGGACGCATAGGCACACACACCATTTTTGTTTATTTTTCCTAAAAATGGCATGAGATAGTTGTGGTGGTCCAAGATGAAAATCCTCCATTGGTTCATTGCCTGCAAAATTGAACTGAACTTTTTATGAAATTTTCTATGTTTGTTGAAGCTCTTTCCAGCAACATTCATGGATATTATCTTTTCCTCCATCGTGGTCTTTGGATGATGTGTCATGGGTATACTCTATGCTAAATTCCTTCAAAATGACAGTGTAATTAGTCTAAACATACTTACTTCTTGAAGAGTGAGGCCATCAAGGTTATGTTCTATGTGTGATCGTCTTATTGAACTCCATATTCCATTCTTGCTTTTTGGTGGAAAAGCCTGTGATGTCAAAACACATCCAACAAGATTTGAAACTTATAACACACTGTTACTGAGATACAACCAAGAGTAATTTTAAAACATAGTCAAAAGTAGGGTAAATTTGGACTCATTTTCTCAAAGAAAATTTGTGTACGTGCACCCCAACCCCCTCATGTTGGAACTCCGTTAATGGAAGGGGAAATATGAGACGATTTGCTAATGGTAAGGATATGAATGGGCCACAAGTTTTGTCAGAGTACAAAATTGAGCAAATTTAGATAGTACAAGGGGATTAGTCAAACACAATCTTGAGCAAATTCAGATAGTGCAAGGGGATTAGTCAATCACAATCTATTAATCAAATACTAGAAACAGCACTTCTGAAATCTTCTTCTTTGGTTAATAGAAGATGTGGACTCATAAATAGGTATGTGTTGTTTTATAATTATCCATCTAATCCTCTTATTTCTCATAAGGGAGAATACATAAAAACTCCCTTAAACTACTCCATGATTTTTTTTTTTTAAAAAACACTTAATTTTGCCGAGGGCCTATGTACCTTCTATAGTTGTTCAAAGTGGTATTTATACCCCTTTCCAATCCATGTGGAATTTGCAGTGCTTGCACAACCGTTCAGTGTGCGTGAAAAGTTCCTAAATTATTGTAATTTACAATTTCTTATATTTTTCAACTCCTCATTTCCTTTTTCTCTTCTCCCACCGACCACCTCCACCTACCCTACCACCAGTGTAGCACCAACAAAATCCACTCCTCCAACTCCTTCTGGTTTTCCTCATCAGATTACCACCCCCAACTGCTTCATCCCCCCCACCCCTGCGCCGCCCCCCAAGTTTTATCTCCATCACCTACCATAACTTCACATGTTCCACCAAATTGTCACTAAAATTCATATTTTCAACGAAATCTATCGAACATGTGCTCGTTCGAAACTGGTTTTGACCTCTCTATTGGAGATCTCAGGTTTTTGATGGGAACGTTCGTCAGTAAAATATATTAAGGATATGCAATCAAAATATCATCTCTTTGAAACTCCACAAATTCTTCATCTTTTCATCTCTTCTTTTGTATTTTTTTCCCCTTTGCTAATTTTTTGATTTTTGTAACTTGTCAATACTAAATCAAGACACTATGAGATGGAAGCAAATGAAGCAAATTTACAGACAACATGCTTTTCTGGTTCTTCCTCTAACACCACACGATCATCAACCAAACTCTTACATGACATTTATAGGAAATTCATGCCATCTAAGATATGGGAAAAAATAATAATCAGGTTTTGGGGTAAGAAGAAGAAGAAATGGGGGGAGTTGAGGGTGCCTCTCTTAGTGAATAAATAATAAAGGATGAAGAAGGAATTGGTTTTGGGGGAGGGACGTCTGATATCAAAAAGTAGTAGTGGTAGTAGTAACTGCTTAGGGGGGTGTCTTGGAGGAAGAAGATGGAATCTGGGGGATAAGATAAGAAAAAATATGAATAAAAAGAAAAATATGATAAAGGGGT